TCATAAAGAGCTAAAAATGAAAAAAGTCTGCAGGGAGTAATCAAGAATGGCAATGCACGATGTTTCCAAAAGTAAATTGTTCCAGAATACTGCAAAAGAGCTCCCTGAGTAGATGTGAGAAGACAGTATGCTGCTCCCCAGCTCTATAGTGACCTGGATCCCACTCAACTAAGCCATTGGAAATGAACTCACCCTAGAGCTCCTGCGAGGCGACTGGACAGCTGGGATCTGTGGGGAACAACACCAATTGATCAAATAGCCAGCTCCCAGTTTTGGCCCCCCACTCACAACCCCGTCTCTTAACCCTCACCTCCACAGCATGAGCCACGATCTTCTTCAAAACGATGGGCTTTCTAACTGGAGCCGCATGGGGTTCCTGGAAAAGAGGAGTGATCATGAGCTCTACATTAGTGCTGGGGCCCCTTGGGCAGTAACTGAGAAACCCAGGGCTCACCTTCCCACTGAGTTCAGGAAGGAAGTTTGGAAGATCCGAGCCTGATTTCCGCTGGGACCGCCGCAGAGACGTAGCAGAAGATGGGGTCCTGGGCCCTATAGAGAAAAATGAAAAGAGGCTGAGCAGGACTCCAGGCCCTAGAGTCCAGAGACCAAGACTGGAGTGGGTCAGAGAAGGTTCCCAAACAAACCCTCTGGGGGCGCCTTCCTGAGGGAGAAAAGCATTCTTTGGCTCGGTGGGGAAGGGCCTGCGATCCCAAACGGCTCAGCCCCACCTCTCCCGCGTTCCCTCTGCTCACCCGAGCGTCGAGCGGCCCCTCCGGACCGCGTTCGTCTCTCAGTCATATCTAGTCTGGGCCTCGACCTCCTCTGCCGCCGCAGCCCGAGGCTCGTGCCAACAGGGAAGGCCGTCTGCAGCTGCAAGTGGAAGTGTTCGAATTACCCGCCCGGTCAGAGAGGAAGCGGAAATGACGTAAGGCGTGAGGGCCGCTACGCTTGGATTTTGCCCTCTTCGCTCGCCTTCCTGTCAAGCCTCTGCAGGGGTGTGGCCGGTGGCGCGGTGTCGTCATTAGCGCGCGCCGCACCCGGAAGAGACGTGGCAGCGGAGGGATAATCGGAGCGGCCGGAGCTGAAGCGGGCAGAGCGGGAGCTACGAAGAGCGCAATCCCTGTCCTTCCGCGCCTCGAATCACCGCTTGCGCACGTCGGGACCGGTGCCGCAGCGGATCAGTAACTTCGAGAGTGGGGGGGTCTGTAAAGAAAGGGGCGGGGCCAGCAAGGGGTGGGGCCCAGACGGGGCTTTGGGGGCGGGGCCAGGGGTATCAGTGGGTAGCTGACTGAGAGGCCTGACTGGGGGCGGGATACCGAAAGAATGAGGGGTCGCCGTACCGGGGATTTATGCAGGGGGCGTGACCCGACACCAGCAAGACCGGGATTTTGGGTTTGCGTGGATGTGAGAGGTGTCGGCGAAGTTAAATGGAAACGGAAGGGGCTGGTGAGACCCAAGTGGCAGCTTGGTAGGACCTGGCTTCTTCCCCAGGGTCGGTCATGGGACTTTGCAAGTGCCCCAAGAGGAAGGTGACCAACCTGTTCTGCTTTGAACACCGAGTCAACGTCTGCGAGCACTGCCTGGTAGCCAATCACGCCAAGGTGGGGCATTCAGAGGATCGCCTGAGCAGGGGACTGGGTGGTTGGCGATATTGGCTTCCTCCAAACCCTTGAGGGGCACCACTCTAGACTGTAAGCTCCATAAGGGCAAGGACTGGGTTTATTTTGCTCACTGCCATAGCCCCAGCCCCTAAGAGAGTCAGGCACATAGTGGGTGCTTAATAAATGTTTACTGGTTGAACAAACGAAAGGATATGTGTCTGTGGTGAGAGAAAAGAGGCAGTTGGACTTTGGAGTGGTTGGTCTTGGAGCCTAGGCTCCAACTGTGACTTCTCTTTCCCACTCCATCCAGTGCATCGTCCAGTCCTACCTGCAGTGGCTACAAGATAGTGACTACAACCCCAATTGCCGCCTGTGCAGCACACCTCTGGCCAGCCGAGAGACAACCCGCCTTGTTTGCTATGGTGAGGTCTGGTCATCCTGGAGGGATCAGGGTAGCCGCAGAGCCATCTTGGTGATTGGTTTCCAAGCCCTCCTCCAGGAGCAGCATAATAAATTCCCCAGGCCTGGGAGGCCAGAGCCCTAGATTCCTGCCCTGTTAGGTTAATTCCCTGCTGTGTAAGTTCAAGCAAGTCATTTTCCCTTTCTAGGCCCCTATGTCTTTTCCTAAAAATTAAAGCTCCTACTTCCTGCTCTGCCAGTCTTGGAGAGTTGAGCAAGAGCCTGTCAAACTTATGATGACGGCAGTTGCCAGCCACACCAGCATGGGACTTTCAGATATTTAGGATCTATTATTCATCCCAGTACCAAACAGAGGAAGAGTTTCCTACAGTAAAGTTAGCTAGAGGGAACCATCAGTCATATGTGTTATGACTTTGGTCTGGTGTAAGAACGTCAGCTTCAATTTTTGAAGGAGCTGATGTAAAAGAGACAGCTCTATGTGTTTTTCAATGTGAGGGTGTGTGTAATTTGCATGACTTCATGTGTCTCTACATGGAATGTTTATTAGTACATTAGTGGATGGTCATAGGTGTGTTGTGGACATACAAGGAGAAAATATTGATCAGGATCCTTGAGTGTTAGCAACCATGTGAGCATATACAATGAGTTCATGGGAGCTAGTGTGGATATAAGGAATGGCATTTGTTTTGGGGTTACATATTCATAAGCACAGGAGTATTTGTGTCCATAGATGTGTACATGCATCCTTGTACCTATGTGTATATCTAGGAATCCATTTGGAAACTATTCTTGATTCACTGTTAGTTCAAGGAGAATGATGAGTACAGGCCCAGAAAGAACTCCCTAAAAGAAATTGGTGGCATTTCCTTCCCGCCCACCCTACTTCTTTGTGCGCTAGGCAGTTTTGTAGCATCTGCTTTGACTTTAGTGGGTGGTATCCAAGAAGGCCGAAGTCTTAGGCAACACTGATGAAATGGACCTGGAGTGAGGAGGGAAAAGCGAGGCCTTGGGCCTACATGTATATATGTCCCTTCATCCTGGCAGTGGGATGGGGGCTATTGCTGGGCTAAGAACCCAAAGAGTCTTCTTCCTGTGTCTCTCCCTTATTTCACGGGCCCTCAGATCTCTTCCACTGGGCCTGCCTCAATGAACGTGCAGCCCAGCTACCCCGAAATACAGCACCTGCTGGCTATCAGTGCCCCAGCTGCAATGGTCCCATCTTCCCTCCAAGCAACCTGGCTGGCCCTGTGGCCTCTGCACTGAGAGAGAAGCTAGCCACAGTCAACTGGGCCCGGTCAGGACTGGGCCTCCCTCTGGTGAGAGTCCCTTTGTCTGACCATCTGTTTGCCTCAAGCCTTACCTTCTATCGCCAGATGGGTGGGTGAGGACAACACTGGTCTGGCTAGTGACCCAAATTCCTTCCTCCAGATTGATGAGGTGATAAGCCCAGAGCCTGAGCCCCTCAATTCCTCCGACTTCTCTGATTGGTCCAGCTTTAATGGTAAGTGGTGGCCTTTACCTGCTTTCTGGGACCTTGCCTTTCTGCATTGTTCATGGCTCTCTCCATACCCACAGCCACCAGTACCCCCGGACAGGAGGACATAGACAGTGCTTCCGCTGCCCCAGCCTTCTACAGCCAGGCTCCCCGACCCCCTGCCTCTCCCAGCCGACCCGAGCAGCACACGGTCATCCACATGGGCAATACTGAGCCCTTGACTCATGGTGAGCCATGGGATTGTCCCAGTCAGAGAAGGACAGAAAGGGCATGGGTGGTGTGGGTGGAGGCAACTTGGGGATCCAGAGCCTCCCCCAAAGTGGCACTTCCTCACCCTAAGCACAGACATGGCCTCCCCTCAATTCCAAGATACTCTATCAGGCTGGGGAGGTTAGGATACCCCCCTGCACAGGGCTAGTTTCTCTGAGTCTGTTGATGCTGGTGGCTTCATCCCTGCAGCCCCAAGGAAGGTGTATGACACGCGGGATGATGACCGACTACCTGGCCTCCATGGGGATTGTGATGATGACAAGTACCGCCGCCGGCCAGCCCTGGGCTGGCTGGCCCAGTTGCTCAGGTATATGGGGTCAGTCAGGGCAGGATGGCAGGAAGGGGAGGAGAGGAGATAATCCAAGAGAGGAAAGATCTGATGACAGCAGGGCTGGTTCTGGGCATTGGTGGCATCCAGTGCAGGGTCTGTGCAGAGGCCTCGGCTGGGCAGTAGCTACCTTGGGGTGCTCTCTCTGTGGCTGTTCTTACCTCCTGTAGGAGGTCTGGACTTGGGCTCTCTGTGGCCCCTTCCTGCTCCAACAGCACGCAATCTTTGTAACTCTCCCCCATGCCTGACATATCCCAGTTTCCAAACCACAGTCTCAGCTAGAACATGTGCCTCAGCTGCTGTGAGCTGCACAATGACTCCACCTGGTGGCAGGTACAGGGGTGATCATCCCTGTGGCGCAGATGAGGAAACTGAGGCTCAAGGATGGTGACTAAGGCTCTTCTCTGTGCCCCAGGGACCAAGGGCCTAACCTGACTCTGCCCTCATTCCCCCCAGGAGCCGGGCTGGGTCTCGAAAGCGGCCACTGACCCTGCTCCAGCGGGCGGGGCTACTACTACTGTTGGGCCTTCTGGGTTTCCTGGCCCTCCTCGTCCTCATGTCTCGCCTGGGCCGGGCTGCTGCTGACAGCGATCCCAATCTCGACCCACTCATGAACCCTCATATCCGTGTGGGTCCCTCCTGAGCCCTTGCTTGTCGCTGGGCCAGCCTAGGACCTGGGATCCTAAGGAGGGAAGGCAGGGAGGCCAGGAGTCTCTTTTCCACTCCTCTCCTTCAAGCCTGAGACACTAAGATTCCTGACCCAAGGCCAAGGCCACCAGAGTGGCTACAGGCTAGATCAGGAGTCATGTAGGTCAAGCATTTATCTTAACCTACTTCCCCCTGGGTCTCCAGCCTCCCACCCTCCTCCCTTGAAGGAGCTGACAGGTGCAAATAAATAACAGACTTTATTAAAACACCCAAAGCAGCCTTTTCCTTCTCCCTTCTCATCCCCGTCCCTAGTCCCCAGGCCTCAGTGGCTTTCTTCCCGGTATTGGATGGCCAGAAACTCCAGGGACAGGCGGTTGAAGAACATGGCTTCATTGAGCACTGGGCAGAAGAAAGAGACCCCATCAGCCCAACACCCCTGCCCTCTCCTGTTACATCCTAGGGTTCCAAAGCTCCCCCTCCTCTTAGCACACCTCCTCCCACTCACTCAGGGTGGTCAGGGCAAAGCACCGCAGAAACTTGTCACCTGTCATCTCTGCGTAGAGTGACCCCATGGCAGCCCAGCAGATGCTGATCACCTGGGAGAACTGTAGGCCCATCCAGTGGGAGAGCGGTCCCCTTACACAACAGCGGGTTTCCATCAGCCCCTCAGCCCTGAGCCCCTGCCCAGGCCTACCATCAGGACAGTCGTGTACTGGAAGCTCATGTGGTCATAGTGGTAGGTGATGCAGAAGTTATGTACATCGTTGGCAAAAACGGCCAGGTGTATGAAGAAGAGCAGCAGTGCAGTCATGGTAAGCATCATGCCTGGTGGAAAGAAGAACACAACTATGCGGTCACGCCACCGCATCCTGGCCGCAGTGTAGACTCAAGTCAGATGTGAGAGCTTGAGCAGACCAGCACTGCCCAGAAGAGCAGCAGAACCCTGAGGACCTAGGGCACTCCATCCGGAATAGCAGTGGGATTCCAGAACTAGGAGGACACTGGGGGGGGGGGACAAAATTCTGGAACCCAGGCTGGTTCCAGCAAATACAAGAGTGTTTCATGGATGGCTGGGGTTGCTCTGAGGTGGGGAGGCATGGGCAAGAGGTGCAGAGCAGTGGGGCCCTTGTGCTGGTAAAGGGACAGCACCTGCCACGGTTCCACCCCAACTCCACTGTGTGCATCTCCACAGATGCAGGTAGTGCGTGTGCGTTCTGCAGACGAATGACCAGGCACAGCAGAGTTAAAGGGCACGCCCCAGGTCTATGGCAAGTTTTAGGCAAATGAGATTAGGACCCAGATGTGTAGCTGGAAGCATCCTTGGTGAGGGGACCTAGGCTGGATTGCAGGTTCTAGGTATTTGCCCCACTTCCTGTTGGGGTGGAAGAGACGGGACAATACATCCTCCATTGCTGTCCAGGGTAGCTCAGAGCAGCTGGCTCTTCCACTTTTTCTCGTGTTCCTCCAGGACCAACGCTGACCAGTTTTCCCCTCCATATTTGGATGCTCAGCATCTCCCTCATTTCCAGAGTCCCACAGAGCGCTGGGGCAGGCAGCATCAGGCCTTTTTTATTATCAAGTCTGAGTCAGGGATTGTTTTCCTCAAACTTGCATAGCCATTGAGCCACACTGAGTCTATTCTGGAGCTCAGATCCCATCCTCCTTGAGATAGAGCAGGGAGGGGCAGACTCAAGCCCAGAAAAAACAATTTCCTTCACGCAGGTGAGAGGTGAGAATTCCACTGCTGTCAACAAAACAAACCAGAGAAGCTGTGAAAAATGGTATGGAGGGATATAAAAGCTCCCAGGGGTTGAAGTAGGAGAGGGAATAACTCATGTCCACCGTGCCAGCCTACTGTCTCCTGCCCAGCTGCCTGCCCAGAAAGTTAGGTTCTAGATCAGACCAAGACCTGAAGTCTCCCACCTCCACGCAGTAGGATTGGAACCTACAGCCGTCATCCATGCTTGCTCCCTCCTCCCCATCTGCCGCAAATTACAGCAGTTCCTCAGACCCCTGACCTCACCATGTGGCTATGTCATTTTTTTTTTTTTTGTAATATTGGGGACCAAACCCAGGACCTTGAGCGTGTTAAGCCAAGTGCTGAACTGAGCCACACCCCAGCCCGCTAGAGTTTGAATATATGGTTTGACCCCTGAACTCATGCCAGAGTTTAATCCCCTAAATCTCATATTAATGGTATTAAGAGGGCAGCAGCTTTAGCAGGCTTTGGTGTTCAGAGGAGAGGCTTTGGAGGAAGCAACTAGATTATGTCATTAGGGTAGAACCCCTTTGATTGAATCCTGGTGGCTTTATATCAATTAGAGAGACCACACAGATAAACACGTGATGTGGAGCAGTCTGCTGGAAGGAGGCTTTCCAGAAGCACTGTCATGTTCAGACTTCCAGCATCCAAAATAAATCTCTTTTCACAAAGTAGCCTGCTTCAGGCATTTCATTCTAGTAACAAATTTAAAGCACATCAAAAGGGTGATGTCCCAATGCACATCCGTGGTCCCATTGTTCAGATAGGTATTTGCACCCAAATTCTCATTTGAGTATAAGTGAACTTCAATACATTGAAATTCCTAACTCAATGCTATTTTAGAAGGAGCCCAAGCAATATATGAATATATATTCTAAAATATTTTAGTTGTAGAGAGAAACAGTATATTTTATGTGGTGGTGAGGATTGAACCCATTGCCTCACCTGTGCTAGGCAAACACTCTTCTACTGAGCTACAACCTCAGCCCATGACTATGTCCTTATAGAAGATTAGCATATCTACAGGCATAAAGTGGATGTTAGCAGTTTCCCCCCTGTACCCTGATCCTATAAGAGGTGACCTCTTTGCCAGTTTGAAAAGTCAGCATCTTTTGGAACTTCATATATCTAAATATACACATATATGCATTATTTATTTTCTGGTACCAGGTATTGAACCTGGCCTGGGGCCACTTAACCACTCACTGAGCCACATCCCCAGCCCTTTTTAGTTTTTATTTTGAGACAGAGTCTTGCTAAATTGCTTAGTACCTCACTGAATTGCTGAGGCTGGCTTTGAACTTGCCATCCTCCTGACTCAGCCTTCCAGGTCACTGGGTTACAGGTGTGTGCCACCATGCCCAGCTATACATGCATAATTTTAAAAAAATCTTAACATTCTTCCAATTGCTCAAAAGGCTGAGGCAGGAGGATCACTTCAACATGAGTTCAAGAAAAGCCTGGGCATCATGGTGAGACCCTTTCATAAGACAAATAAACTATTAATGAGAAAATCATACCATATGTACTATCAAAATAAAATCTTCAAAGAGATAAAAACAATTAATATGTAAAAAAGATAATTATTAACTCACCAATGAAGGGAGTCCCCTTAGTAAGATTGTAAATCACCTTGATGATCTGGATATAGACAGGTACTTAAGGAAGAATATTAAAATATGATTACTGGAGGCAGGCCCAATGGTGCACACCTGTAATCCCTGAAATTTGGGAGGCTGAGGCAGGCAGATCATAAGTTCCAAGGCCAGAGTCAGCAACTTAGACTATCTCAAAAAGAAATGGGATGGGGCCAGGCACAGTGGCACATGCCTGTAATCCCAGTGGCTCAGGCTGCTGAAGCAGGAGGATCATGAGTTCAAAGCCAGCCTCAGCAAAAGTGAGGTGCTAAGCAACTCAGTGAGACCCTATCTCTAAATAAAATACAAATAGGGCTGAGGATGTGGCTCAGTGGCCGAGTCTCCTGAGTTCAATCCCTGGTACCAAAAATAAAATAAAATATGATACTGAGTTAGATACAAAACTGGTTCATGTCCTAAAGGACAATAAAAATTATTACCTTTTAGACTTATTTTTTCTACTAGATATAAATGTTTTCCCTCTCTCCTGGGCAATGCCTATTTGTCCCTTCAGAGTCTGAACTCCATAGTAAATACCAAAATCAAACAACTATATATTCCTACAAGTAATTGCATAATCCTCAGATGGGCTTGTGAAATAGTGCCCCACTATAACATCGAAATTAAATACTGTACCCTTGGTCTGCCAATTTGACAACATTCTGCCACCTTTTTTAAAAAGTTTATAGACTTCTTGGAGTGGACCTAAATTTGTGGTAGAGGGTTGCTGGGACAAAGCTAAATCTTTATACTCTTTATTTTTTTATTTTTATTTTTTAAAGAGAGAGGTAGAACTTTTTAGTATTTAATTTTTAGTTTTTGGGGCTGGGGATGTGGCTCAAGCGGTAGC